GTCAGGGGGGGGGGCTGGGTGGGGTGCGGGGGCTGTGAGGGGGCTGGGGGGTGCCGAGGGTGGGGGGTTCCATGGGGTGCTGGGACCGTGGAGGGTCTGGAAGGGTTTTGGAGGATGCTGGGATCATGGGGGGCATTGGGGTAGGTCCACGTGGGGGGTCCATGGAGTGATGGGACCATGTGAGGCACTTGTAGGCTCCAGTGGGGGGGACCCATGGGGTGCTGGGATCATGGGGGCACTGGGGGGCTGTGGGGAGTGCTGGGACAAGAAGAGATTGGGGAGGGGTGTCGAGGCTGCTGGGAGAGTCCCCGTGGGGCTGAGGGGGCCCACGGGGTGTGAGGGAGGTGAGCCCGTGGGAACATGTGTGGGGCTCACTCCCGGGGCTGGTGGGGAAGGGTCCTTTGGGGGGCAGAGGGGAGGCAGGACAGGCCCATGGGGTGCAAGGGGAAGTCTGTGAGGGGGGTGCCTGTGGAATATGGAGAGAGGGGGGTCTGTGGGGCTGGGGGCAGCCACTTCCCTGCCTGCACCAGCCTGTCCCCCCGGGGCAGGGAGTGCTCACCAGCTCCGCAGGACCCTGGAGCCTGCTGCAGCACCGGGGGGCACCTGCTGGAGCTGAGCCCCCCCCTCCGCTTCCCACCCCAGCTGGCACCATGGTGGAGTACCGCATCCGGCCGTACCGGGAGGAGGACTACGAGGCGGTGCGCGAGGTCTTCGCCACTGGCATGAACGAGTACGCCCCAGCGCTGTGCCTGCACGTCCTGCGGCAGCCCTGGGTGCTGCTGGTGCTGGGCTGCACCTTCTGCCTGCTGCTCGCCAGCGCCCGCTCCCTGCTGCTGCCCGTCCTGGCCATCACCCTGCTGCTGGCCCTGGCCCGGCACCTCCTGGGCTGCGCCTGGAGCACCTACATCGACCGCTGCCTTGGGGACGACCTGCGGGACATCGGGGCCTCCTATGCCGAGAGCGCCGGTGCCCGCTTCTGGGTGGCGGAGGCGGACGAGCGGGTGGTGGGCACGGTGGGCGTGCGGCCGGCCGACAAGAGGGAGCCGAGGGGGGAGCTGGCGTTGAAGAGGATGTCGGTGCGGAAGGACTACCGGGGCTTGGGCATCGCCACGGCGCTGGCCCGCGCCGCCCTGGACTTTGCGCGGCAGCGGGGCTGCCGGGCCGTGGTGCTCAACACCCTGATGCTGCAGCACGAGGCCCGGGCCCTCTACGAGCGCCTGGGCTTCTGCCGGCACCGCCGCTACGTCCTGCCCACCGTCTATGGCCGCCTGGCCAACTGCACCATCACTGTCTACCGCTACGACCTGGCCGGCAGACCCTGAGTCCCCACAGCAGCAGCCGTGAGGCGGGGTGTGGGGCGGGCATCGTGCCCCAGTACCGTCATGGCTGCAGGGGCTGTGCCATGGGGGATGCTGCTCTTGACCCTGCCTGCCAGACATGGCGCTGCTGTGGGGCAGCAGGTCCTGTCCCTCCCCGCACCGGCTGGTGCCTTGCCGTGGAGCCGTGCGGGCGTTGCTTCTCAGGGAGTGTGCTGCACCCTGGCACGGGGGGTGGCACAGGGGGTAGGGACCCTTGTGCCACATTGCTGGGGGGTGCAAGGGTGCCCTGCCCCATGGTGTGTGTGTGGGGGGGGGTCAGTCTCCCAGGAGGGGATGAAGGTGTCTCCTGCCTGGCCCTGAGGGTGCCATGTCCCTTGGGGAGTGTCTGGGTACCCAGGAGAGACCCCCAGCCACATGTTGTGTGCCCCCCCGGCTGCTCCATGGTGCCTGCGGGTCGGGCGCTGCCCCTGCGTGGGGTGGAGAAATAAAAGACCGTCCGCAGCACCGGGCTGGGTCGTTCTTCCCGTGCTGGTACGGGGTCCTGGGGTGGCTACCCCAGCAGTCCCTGGCACTGGCATCCCCACAGGAAGGGTCCAGCACAGGGCTGGGGGGACGGCACCAAACTGGACCCACGGGGCACTGTAAGCCCAGAGGGATGCTCATCCCACATTTTGCCCCGGGGCTGCTGTGCTGGTGGGGGTCCCCAGGGCAGGGGACAGCGCTCACTCAGTTGCCAGCTGGTCCCCTGGGGTGAGGACACACGCTCCTGGGGGCTGGTCCTCCCCATGGGCTCCTTGTGTCCCCCCCGCCTCGCCAAGCTGGCGTGCTCTCAAGGGATGAAAGGTGACTTGGCCATAAAATGAGCCCCAGCCCCTCTGGCACGGAGCCTGGCAGCACGGGGCACTGCCACTTTTGCCAGTTGGGTCCGGACAGAGTCCACAGTGGGGCTGGGCTGGGTGGGTGCCATGGGGCTCAACCCCCCTGCAAAAGGAGAGTTCTGGGCGGGGAGAGGGCTGGGGGCTACAGCAGAACTTGGGAGCTGGCAAAGCTCCTCATTCCAGCGAGGTTTCCCCCACCGTGGGGGTCCAGTGCCGAAGCATCTCCTCAATTTGAGGGGGATGGGGGTTCCGGGCAGGTCCCGGGCACTGCCTGGGACCCCCATGCCCACACAGGAGTGACCCCCCCTGCTATTCAGCCACGCAAGGCTGAGCGTGACCCTATAACCTTCTCAAGGCTCGGTTGATGGCAGCATCCATCCCGGTATCAGCGGGGGCGGCACTTCCCCTTCGGCGCCTGCGCTTGCCGCATCCCCGGAGCCGCCGTCAGCCCGGGTAAGGGCCAAGCTGGGGGTACAGCCTGAGGCTGTCACCGGAGCACCCCTTCCTCCCTTCCCTCCTCCACCCCCCCAAAACCAGGCTGGGCGACATCCCCGAGGGTTGCAGAATGATGGGCTGAACCGAGCCGGCATCTTTCGGCGACGACGGTGGTGGGAGCCATTGGCACAGGCCAGCACCGGGAGAAGGAAGCAAAGCCCTCCCCCCCAGCCCCGTACAGGGGGGGTGGCCAGACCCCCCAGGGTCTGGCGAGGGACCCCCCCCCACCCCTTTTTCCCGGAGGATCTGCACAGACGCAGTCCCCGGTTTGAGGAGCGGCAGAGCCGGTAGCAGCAGGTGGGGGGGCGGGGGGGAGGACTGGGAGTTTGCCAAGGTGGGGGTGCAGGGTGCCAGGACCCCCGGGAGTAGGGGGGGGCACTGAGGCCACGGTCCCCATTAGCCCCCAGTAACGAGGTCAGTGCAGACCCCTGCAGGGTTTTCAGCAGCTCAGCCCCTCCAACCCCTTCCCCAGGGCAGGGGGAGCTGTACCCGCTTGGGCTCAGCTACCCTCCCCCCGCACAAACCCACTGAGCAGCCCCTGGGGGGCTCTGTGCCCGTCGCTGGCCCCATGCCCCTTTGCCCTGCTCCTGCCACGGCACCGTAGGGCAAAGGACAGGCACCCAGGCAGCTGCCTGCCTCTGCCCAGGCGTTGTTGTGCCACAGCTCCTGGGGAGCCAGCACCACCATCGGTGAGTGCCGGGGTCCAAGGGCTACTTGGAGAATGGCAGGGAGCAAGCACCCCCAGATCCTCCTGCTCCTCCTTTCACCCCTCCCAGGCCCTGCTCCTCCCTCCTGGCCATCCCATCCCCAACCTGCTCCCTGCAGCCTGGGGAAAGCGGGATGAGCATCTCCGTGTCCCCATTGCGGGGGGCACAGGAGCCCCCAGCCCACTTTGCCTCTGCCTTCATGGAGACCCCCATGTAGGACCACCCCCCTGGCATGGCTGCTGCTCCAGCCCCGGGGGCAGCAGAGAAAGCTGAGATGAGACGGGTGATGGTTGGAGGGGGTTCCCTGGGGGGGAAAGAGAGGGGGAGGAGGAGGAGTGGGGCAGGGGAGATGGGGCAGGAACCCCACAAGGGGCCAGGATTCCCGGGTGCCCACCCCATGTGAGGCTGGTGCTGTTGGTTTTTAGTGGGAAGAGGTAATTATGCTGGTGGGGCAATGCAGAGAGCAGGCTGGTGCCCAGCTGAAGAGAGCTTCCATGGCTGTACGGTGTTCGGGCATCGACCCCAGCCCGTTTGCCACCCATGCCATCCTGGCGATGGGGTCTGGGGATGCCCTGGGGTCCCCATCTGAGGTGGGCGCTGCCCTGACACCCTCCAATGCCATGCCATGCCACAGGTGCCAGCAGCCCATGGCGTCCTACCGCATCCGGCAGTACCGGGAGAAGGACTACGACGCCGTGCGGACCCTCTTCGCCCGCGGCATCTTGGAGCACGCGCCGGCCGGCTACCGCCACATCCTGCGCTCGGCGCGGGCACAGCTGGGGCTGCTGGTCCTCTTCGCTGCCGTGCGGGCAGCTGCCGGCTACTGGGTGCTGGGGCTGGCAGCCGTGGCCCTGGCGCTGGCGGCCACTTGGCCCGTGGTCCGCTCTTTCAGTACCTCCTATGTGCAACAGGCGCTGAGCACCGACCTCTGTGACATCTCCACCAGCTACCTGCGGGCACCCGACTCCTGCTTCTGGGTGGCGGAGGCCGGGGGGACCGTGGTGGGCATGGTGGCCGTGGCACCGCCGCAGGATCCGGCCGAGAGAGGGGTGGCCCTGGAGCTGAAGCGAATGTCGGTCAGCAAGGACTACCGGGGCCGGGGCGTCTCCAAAGCGCTCTGCGGGGAGGTGCTGCGCTTCGCCCGGGCAAGGGGCTACGGGGCAGTGGTCCTCTCCACCTCCATGGTGCAGGTGGCCGCCCAGAAGCTCTACGAGGGCCAGGGCTTCAGGAAGGTGGGCACCTTCAGCCCCTCGCTGCTCGGCAGCCTCCTCTGCTTCCAGATCTTCCACTACCGATGCGACCTGCCCGGTGGCACCGCGGCCCCGCCACGCTAGATGCTGCCACCGCACCCCGACCCCCTCGCCCGAGGCACCCCCGCGGCACGTCCCACCACGTCCCCTGTGCACAAGGTGCAGCCGTGTCACCCCTGGCCCCAGCCATGCCACACAAGGCACCCCAAACCCTGGCGTGTGGCACCCCCAGCCATGGCACCACGGTGGCACCCGCATGGGGTTGATGGCGGGGGATGGAGGTCATGCCTGGCCGGGCTGCTGGGGCCATTCCTAGTTTTCTAGAAATAAAGGTAGAGACCTGTGGGAGCACCGCGTGGGGTGTGTGTGTGTACGCGGGTCTGCCCCTGCGTGGGTGCCTGTGTGCCGCATGCGTGTGCACATGTGGCTCTGCAGGCATGTTTGCACACGTGCGTGTGTGTGTGTGTGTCCCTGCATGTGCCTGCACACCCATGTGCATGTGTGCATGCGTGTGCCTGTGCATGCCAGCCTGCCTCTGCCCACCCTCCCTGCCCACACACACGCCTGCCAACCCCCCCCTGCTGCCCTCTCCCCACCGCCTGCCCGCCATAGGGCTGGGAATAACCTGGGGGACTCCCCCTGGATCGGCAGTGCCTGCTCTGCCCGTGGGAAGGGTCCAGCGCCGTCCCTGAGGCATCCCGGGGGGACACCTTTGGGGACAGGGGACACCTTGGGGGACAGGGGACATCTTGGGGGACAAGGGCGTCCCGGGTGCCCAGGGCAGGAGGATACTCGCGCTGGGGATGGGGGAACCAGGGACCCCAGGGTGCTGGAGGGGTTTGGGGCGGGTATCATCCAGGGATGGCGGCAGGGGACACCTCCGGGGGAGGGGACACCCCGGGCGCAGGGGACTCCGGGCTCAGGGGACTCCAGGGCCCGCAAGCGTGCGGGCCGCCCTGCCCTCACTTAAGATGGCGGCGGCGCCGACCCGCCGTGCCCTCACTGAAGATGGCGACGGCTCTCGGTCACTGCTCCACCCCTCCCGTCCCATCCTCCCGTGCCCTCACTCAAGATGGCGGCGGCCGGGCCGGCGTCGCGGCGGGGCGGGGCGGGCGGAAGCGGCGGCGAGAAGCGCAGGCAGAGGCCGCCCGGCCCGGCTCGTCCCGGCCCGGCACCATGGACTGTTACACGGCCAACTGGAACCCGCTGGGCGAGGATGCCTTCTACCGGTGAGGGGCGGCGGGGGGCGGCCCGGGCCCGGTGCTGGCTAGAGGCCCCCGTCCCTAGGGCCGGCCAGGGGGTCCCGGGACCGGTCGGGCGTGTCGTGGGGCTGGCTGTGGAGCTGCTCGGGGTTTCTCAGGGCTGACCATGGGCCTCAGGGATGGGCGGGGGGTCCCGGGGCATGGTCCGTGGTGCAGGTGGACCCACTGGTCCCAGGGCATCCGTGGGTCTCGGTGCTGGCTGGGGGTCCCGGGGCCGGTGAGGGGGGTGGGCGCCATCCCCATCCCTCGCTCTTTCTCCTGCCCACCCATCTGTCCGCCGCCTGCAGGAAGTTCGAGCTGTACACCATGGAGTGGAACCTGAAGGAGGACCTGCGGGACTGCCTGGTGGCGGCCGCCCCGTACGGGGGACCCATAGGTAGGGTCGGGCCCCAGCACCCCAGGACCCTCCGCTGTGGCGGGGGCTGTCCTAGAGCCCTGGTGGTGACAGCAGAGGGTCCATGGCTCAGACGGACTGTCCCATCCCACCCACAGCTCTGCTGAAGAACAACGCCAGGAAGGAGAAATCCCCCAGCGCCCGCCCGCTGCTGGAGATCTACTCAGCCTCGGGGCTTCTCCTGGCCAGCATCCCGGTGAGCTGGCTCGGGGGCAGCCGCCCCCTCCTTTAAGCTGCCCCTCAGGTGCTCCACGGAGGTTTGTGATGTGCCAGGGAGCTTGTGACAGTCCCGGCTGCCCCTCAGAGGGGCCTGGAGGCTGTAGCTCTCTGCCCCTCGCAGTGATGAGCCAGGCAGAGGGACTGAGGAAGGGCTCACCGGTGGCACCGAGGGCTGTATGGCTGGGTTAGGGGCTGGGTGTTGTAGGTGTATCACTGGGCTGTGAGGCTGGCAGTCGCCTCTGCCTGTGCAACTCACTTGCCTGCCCTTGGGCAGCTCCTCCGGTCTCCAGGATGCTGCCATGTGTCCTCGGCACCCTAAGCTCTCCAGGGTGATGGCTCTGTGCAGCTCCTGCAGCCCTCTGAAAGCTTTGGAGAAGCTGCTCAGACGTGGTGGAGTGTCCGAGGGGGGCATAGGGAAAGCTGCAGGGAGAGGGAGGCCACAGTGTTGGGGTGGGAACAGGAGCTGCAGCATTGGCACTGCAGGAACATCATCCCTTTCCCGCTGCCCAGGGCTGGGGCGGACACAGGGCAGTGAGGAAGTGGAGGGACAGGGAAAGCTGCCATGATTGCAGGGCCCTTCAAAGCCAGGGCAGCCAGGGGCATCAGAGCTGCAGATGGCAGCCAACCATGGCTGTTGGCTTCATGTATGTCTCCTGGAGGGATGCCTCTGGGGCTGTGCCATCGGGGAGGCGAGCAGCCCGTGCAGCTCGTGTGTCTCCTGCCCACAGTGGAAGAGCGGCCAGCTGGTGCAGCTGGGCTGGACGGCCAGCGAGGACCTGCTGTGCATTCAGGAGGATGGCACCGTTCTCATCTACAACCTCTTCTGCGAGTTCAAACGCCATTTCAGCATGGGCAATGTGAGTAGGGCAGGACAGAGAGCTCAAGAGATGCCCAGGGTTGGGTTTGTGTGACAGAGAGTCGACCACTGTGAGTCCCCCCTGAGCACTCCCACAGCATCGTGGGGTGCAGTGGGGAGTTGGGGTCTCTCCCAGCCTCCTTGCAGGGCTGCCTGCCTTTGGGAATGAGCTGGCAACTGTCATCATGACCCCTGGGGGTGGCTTTGCTGCAGGAGTGAGGCCTGTCTGAGCTGGGACACATGCACCAGTGCAGCACAGGGGTGGGCTCCCTCCTCCCTGGGGTAGTTTTGTTCCCCGAGCAGTGGCAGCAGCGTGATGCTGAGCCCCAGCTGCCCAGACTCAGGCCCAGCTCTCTCTCTGTGGAACAGGAGGTGCTGCAGAACCACGTGCTGGAGGCGAAGGTCTTCCACACGGAGTATGGCACCGGCGTGGCCATCCTCACCAGGGCGTACCGCTTCTCCCTGGCCACCAACATCGACGACCTGAAGCTGCGCAGGATGCCTGAGGTTCCCGGTGCGTCCCCTCCCCGCTGCCCCCGGCTCTGGCTGGGTGCAGGGGCCTGACGCTGGTGCCCGGCAGGTCTGCAGAAGCCTCCCTCCTGCTGGGCCGTGCTGTCCCAGGACAGAGTCACCATCGTCCTGCTGGCGGTTGACCAAGACCTATACCTCCTGGACAACACCTCCTGCTCCGTGGTGGTGAGTGAGCTGCGGTGACCAGTCCTGGGAAGCAGGGTGGTTTGCAGTCCCCCACACTCACTGGCAGGTCCTTCCCCTGTCCCCCACTGTCCTGTGGGATGCTCTCCCCAGAACTCTCCTTCCTTCTGCTGTCCCACAGCATGTACAACAGGGACATCTGGCCCCATCCTGGCCAGGGGCAAAGGGGTGAGGATTGAGCGGGCACAGGGTGGGAAGGGACACCTGCTCTGACCAATCCTCAAGCCCTCATGCAGCATTGGTGCTGGTGTGTGGCATGTCCTGTGTCCTGAGAGCCTGCCCCCCAAGTGTCACCCTCACTCTTTCCCTGTCCCAGACCCCCCCTGGCATGAGTCCCTCCGCCGGTGCCTACCTGCAGATGGCCGTGTCCTTCAACTACCGCTGCCTGGCGCTCTTCACCGACACCGGCTACATCTGGATGGGGCTGGCCACGCTGAAGGTGAGCATTTCCCTTCCCTCCCCGTCGTGGGGCATTAGGGTGTCAGCCCTCCCCTCTTCTCCCTGTCCAGCAGATGGACCTGGTGGGGTGGGGTGTCTGAGCAGATTCCCTCAGGGTCCCCCTGGACTCGGGGCTGCAGGTCAGCCTCACTGCTTCCCACAGGCATCTGCACTCCTGCCCTTGGGAGATCCACTCTCTTTTGTTCTTTGCCTGATTTTATACTTTACTCCCCTTTTTTTTGTGTTTCTGGACCCACCTCTTTGCTGTTCTTGCACCTCCCTTTCTCTGTCCAAACTCCTCTCAGATAAAGAGCCCACCACTAATTACTCTTTCCATACCAGTCACAGTTCTGTTTCATCTATATCCAAACTTGCTGGTCCTCATGCTGTTTCCTGGGCCGTCTCAGCCTTCTCTCCAGAGCTGTGGTCACTTCAGCATAGGGCCCTTGCTTGCGAGTCATCATTCCACACTGCAAATTCCCCTGCATTGTGGGGCTCATGCTGGTGAGGTGCTGGGTGCACCTCCATGTCCTCCGAGACCAATCCTCCTTTCACCTTCGTTCACTTACTTGCTCTGTGTGCATTCAGTCTGTGCACACACGGTGCCACCTGTCCCCGCACTGCTGTCCCCCTGACCCATCTCTCTCCTGCCACAGGAGAAGCTCTGCGAGTTCAACAGCACCATCCGATCTCCACCCAAGCAGATGGTTTGGTGAGTGCTTTCCCTGCCGGCCCACCCTGCCCCCAGCTGTGCCCACCCACACTCCTCCAGTACCCTAAGCCTTTGCCTCCCTGGGACAAACAGGACCCTCTCGTGTCCCTGCTTCAGGTGCAGGGGGCTACAGCAGGGCCAGGGTTAAGCTGGGGCTGGGTCTCCCCAATAGGTGCATGCGTCCCCGGAGCCGGCAGCGTGCCGTGGTGGTAGCCTGGGACCGGCAACTGATGGTGGCAGGGAACTCCACGGAGTGCATCCAGTATCCTTTGGGGAAGAAGGACTGGTGGTGTTTCTGAAGGCCAGCCCAGACTGCGAGCGTCCTTGGTCCCTCCTTGGACCACCGCCATCTGTCACAGGCACTGGTGTCCCCTGGTGGGCCCCTTGGTGTCAGCTGCCTCCCTGCCCATTCAGAAGAGATTGTCCTTGTTCCTCTCCTCTGCATTTCTGCCACAATCTCCTCTGCCTGGCCCCAGCCAGCCTGGTCCTGTACACCAGCAAAAACCTCTCCTGTTTGCCCCCCGGCCCTTGTCCCCCTTCTCCGAGTCTTCCCACTGAGGAGAACCTGCTTCCCCTCGGCTCCAAGAGCAGAGCTGGTGCTGGCAGCCACCAAAAATCCTGCAGCAGGGAGCACTGTCCCAGACGAGGTCCCGTCCCAATTCCCCAAGGGTGAGGACTGCCACGGGTGGGGGAATTTCTGTCCCTCCAAGTGCTGATCCTGTGCCCTGCCATGGAAAGGCAGGGATGGGAGTT